GTGGTGTAGGTATTAACTCTGTGACCTAGAGTGACTCCAGGCTGAATAATTACATTTGATTAATTGATAATAATTTTCTGTTTCCTGATGTTTATGGTGATCATTTATTGTCTTGTACAGTTTTATATGGTTGTAGAACCTTGAGGCATTATTGTTACCCAAGAAAGAAATGAGTCTGATCAGCAAATCTGTTTCTTTTAAAATCATTGGGAAATTTGCCAATTACTTTAGTGGATGCAATATGGAACCCATGAGTTATAATTGCAGTTATCAATAATCTGCCATAATATCTACAATTGTGTTGCATTTGCATACATAAAAAAAGATAATATTTGTGCCTCTGAAGGCCAGATAATCTATGTCACAGTTTGTATAGCCAGCTAAGTTAAGCACTTGGGGACCGTGTGTATGAAGTGTCTTTGCTTGATTGTGTTTCTAGGATACAGTTATAATAAAAGACCATGCATATAAGGCATTATTCCCTCTTAACACTTCCTTTTGCTCCGTGAGGGGTAATAACTTGGCTTTTGATATACACCATGAGCTGATGCCTCTCTCCATGGTTATTGAGCTGCACACATTAGCAGTAGGCAGACTGAACAAGATTTCTTCCATTTTCTGCCTCTCTCTGCCCATTAATCCCTCATAACGTGCAAATACAAAAATAAGTGAAGTTCTGGTTCCCTCCTACACCTTTTCAGAGCCTGAGTTGTATTAGTCCTGCAAATACATATATTTTATTGAAATGAATGATTGAATAAGCTGTGCTAGTAAGTAGGCAAAAAATGTAACTTATGGACAACTTCTTAATTCACTGGACTGAGACATAATTGCAGACCAGTCATGACAAATGTCATGAGCCTTCTTTGTTGCTATCCTCCAACCTGAACTGGACAGAAAACTACTAGGGCAAAAGAATATCTTAGACTGGTATTCATTCTTTAAATCCAGCTGGTGACTGAGCCCCACACAGCCACTCACTCACTCACTCACTCACTCACTCACTCACTCACTCACTCACTCACTCACTCCCCTGGTGGGATGGGGCTGAGAATCCAGCAGGTGAAATACGGGGTTGAGATAAAGGCACTTTAAAGGTAAAGGTTAAGGTAATCCAGAAACTGTGCAAGTGAAGCAAAACAAAGAATTTATTCAACACTTGGTAGGCAGGCAGGTGTTCCCAGAAAAGCATGGCTCCATCACAAGTGACTTGGCAGGACAAATACCACCATTCTGAACGTCTTCCTTATTCTTCTCTCAGCTTTATAAGCTGAGCATGTCATCATATGGTCGAGGATATCTCTTTGGTCAGTTCTTTGTGGATGTATAAAAGGAGCCTGTCAAGCATTCCAGCTGCCCACATTGCTGTTCTTTCCCTTCAACTGTGTTTGTTATTGCATTGCTTGAAATAGGAAGAACCTGACTTCTTGTGGGTTGTTCCACCATCTAAGTGAGTATTATATAATTCTGGAAATGTGCAGCTTACTCGTATTCAAAGAACGCCCACATTTATACTGTGTATCTTCACCTGCTACATATCTTAGCTGTGTGAAAGACCTAGACTGAAAAATTCAATATATTTCTAAAGAAGAAGTTAAGGTAGAGGATTTACTCTCTGTGAGAAGATGACATTTTGTTGCTTTTGTTGTGAAAAAGTAGAATTGGCCAGGACCAGGTAGGTTATATGATGCATAAATTAATACTAATCCATTAGTCTGTCTTGTCCTAAGTATATTTGGACAAAATACAGGGACCCATTTTATAAAGTAACTTTATAATTTTGCTCTCAGAGATTATGCACTGACCAATATTCAATCAATTTCACAAACAGTTGCCTGAATAAGAGGTGCAGCACATAGTATTGTCTGGAAATATTGAGACATGGGTTTTTCAGCTTTTTTCTCCTCTTTCCTTTTTTTTTTTTTTCCCTTTTCCATTCCTCTAGCTAATGTTCTTTGGTGTAGAAGCAGAAGCAGGTCCAATAGAGATAAGATTAAGATCTCTGTTTGAAGTCATGATGCAAGGGTTTTCCTGTACCTGGTGCCCACGTGAGACAGATAAGCAATACTCCTAAATGAAAGCAGACAGAGTGTGCCTGCTCCTCTGTGAAATCTGATGTACAGCAGTGTGTCACCTGGTAACAAGACAGTTGCTATCTGAGATATCTCAGCAAATTGCAATTTTTGCAATATGGCCTAGAAAGGAATTTTCTGTTTGGAGTGATGTTGGAGTAGCAGAAGGAATAAGATTGTGAGTTGGTACAACGAGGGAAATGTGTCTCTTGTGCTTGCCCCAGGGTCTGAGGGTGGGTGTGTTTCAGCTGGTGAGGGTTTTCTCCTAAATCAATGTGGCTGTTTGTGCAATATGGTGGCAGTAGGCTCGGCTGGGAAGCAGTGGTTGGAATCAAAGCTCCGAGTTCTAGTTATGGGTCCTTTGTCCTGAGATAATCTTGTGGCACCACTAACTGGTTTGATACATTTTGAACTTTAGGAAAAAAAATTACCCTAAAGACACAATGACATTTTTTCGCTTGTAAGCAAAAAGAGGTAAAAATTATTTGCTCTGGAAAGAAGGTGTGAATCTCTTTGGTCATGGCACAACTGTTGATATTATTCAAAGACAGAGTTCCACTGAATAACCTGAAACCTGCCAGTAATTCATAGCTGTCCCTAAAGACATTACCAGGAGTAGCTTGTAATTTTGGACTAGAAGGCATCTCAGGAGGTCAGAGATAAAAAGTTCTTCTGGTGCATTCAGAGGGAGCAGCTATTTGTCGTATAGTTTTGTATCTTCCACAGACAATGAGAAAACAGCGTTTGTGTCCTGAATGTTAAGACTATTTCATAATCATTATTAACAAGTATGGTCATTATGAGCCTGCTTGTTTTGGCCCTTGGGTAACAAAGTTCACTGCTTCATCAAGCTCTGTCATAATCAGCCTTATTATAAAAACATAATATTGTAACCTTCAAAAGCTCCCTGGGCTAGTGCAATAAAAACTGTGGGAATGAGCTGAAGTAATCTTTAGGCTAACAGCAGTTGCACTGGGAAAATGTAACAATTTTTATGGATGTAATGTACATGCTCCCTCCCCACCCTCTTCATGCTCTTCTCACCAGGACAAAAGTTATCCCTCAGACCCCTCTTGGAGCCAAATTATCTCATCAAAGCAGAATAAGTTTATAACACAGTATTCACTGCATATCAAATGCCCATGCACTGCTTTGATTTCTATTCTTTGGAGTGCTGTTGCCGTATTTTGAGTATTTCATTTCGAGGAGAAGAGCTATTAAGTGTTTCCCCTAAAGAAGTTGATTATTCAATGGCTAAAGATGTCAAGGATAATGAAATAAAAAGGGAACTGGGCTGTGATACTCCCTAGCAAGAAAATGCATCTCATTAGAAGGCATTCCCACCAGAGAAGTCTATGGTGTTACATGCCTTAATTCCTTTCTGCTGCTAGGTTGTTGCCCAAGTTTGGGATGCAGGCAGCATGCAGCCGCAGTGACAGTGCACAACTGTGTGCAAACAGTAATTAATCGTTGGCTCCCTGAATGGAGCCTCTGTGAGGCTGGAGGCAAATCAAAGGGCTGGCCTGGTTTCCAGGGCTTGAGGAACACGCCATGGTGTACAATTGGGAACATTCAAGTTATGAATACCCCCTTGTAAGCCGTGTGGCAGGAGGCTAAGGGTAGCTCACCTCCACAGGCTCAAGTCTGTGCTCAGCAGGAGGACTTGCCCTTTGGTGTTTGGTGATGGGGACAAACTGCATGCTCTGATCCAAGGATAATTCAGTTCAGTTTCCTGGCAATTCTGGAAAGAAAAAGAAATTCAATCTCACTACACAAAAGATTTGTATGTGAACTTATATATTCAAGGCAGTTTGCAAGAGTGCGTTTTTGAAATGGCAGTGTTGTTCTCTACAGGCAGACATGCATTAGAAATTTGTCGATACTTGGGCATCATCAGCAAAGACCAAATATGCTGAGAAAAGGTGTAAACACTTTCTCACACCCCCACCCAGTAATTAAGAGCCTTTTGACCCGGGAGTGCATTTTGAAGCAGGGAAGGGGATTGTGTCAGTGTGAAACACAGTGGTTGTCACTAGAGGATCTACACATTTTGTCAGGGATCCTCACAGTGGTGTCTGAGACACCACAAAATTTACTTGCTCTTAGAAGAAGAAAAACAGCTTCCCCAGAGAAACACTGAGTGGGAAATGTGGACAAATCCTAGTCTGCTTTGGAAGGATGGCAAGTGGGTCACTGTCCTCATGGATGAAGCTGCGGGTTTGGGGGAGGGTTGTGCTGAGATGGGTTATAGAGGGCAGGGCCAGAGAGACTGTCAGGCACCGAAATTGTGTTTCACTCTGTTATAAAATGCCTTAAAAAACATTCCAGTACCTGCAGGATATATGACATTAGTAGTGTCCATCTTGCAGCTTGCAAGAAACATACTGCAGCACATGTGCTCATCATTATGAAATATCAGGACATTTTCTGCCCTCCTGGAATCCATTTTCCTGGGCAACTCAGTGTCACAGTGTACAGGACTTTTCCCTGTGCTGTGTCTATCTAGCAAAGCGTGATGAAGTACAAAAGGGCTAAGGAAGTAGTATAATTTGAATTATTATGTGGTATATTATGATATATCAGAATAAAACTGGTCTGGAATGTCCCTTGATGTGAATTGTCCTAGACATGTGGTACAATTTATATTAGCTGAGGTGTTGTTCCTCCAATTTGTCTAAAATACTTGCTGTTTGTGATAAAAGTCAAAATCTCAGCAATTAGTTTTTCACTCACCCACATCTCTCATTTTGTAGATAAAGTGGGAGTTTCTTCCCCTTCCCATCCTTATGACAGTCTGTGTTGCTGAGTAGATACTTGTAGAAAGCTGTAAGGTCTCCCAGCAACTTTGCAAGCAGATTTCTGCAGCTACACTCCTTTTCTGTCCATCAGCAAGCCCAGCACTGACCAGTGTTCCTTGCACCCTGCCAGGTCTGATTGTGCGGGAGGTGAGCATCGAGATTTCCCGGCAGCAGGTGGAGGAGCTCTTCGGGCCGGAGGATTACTGGTGCCAGTGCGTCGCCTGGAGCTCGGCAGGCACCACCAAGAGCCGCAAAGCCTACGTCCGCATCGCCTGTGAGTGCTCGGCTGGGCAGCCTGGGGCCGTGATGGCTGGGGGAGGAGAAGGGCAATCTCTGCCATTTCAGGGAGATGTTTCCTTTCCAATCACTTAGGACCTGTATTTTGTGCAGTTATTGATGCATGCTGAAACTCAGGCCTTCAGAAATACTCACAAGAGTTTCAGTTTATTTTCTTATTAAGTGCTAAACCTCATTCTCCTGTGTGTGGCATCAAAACCAGTATTTATTGAGTACAGCAGTTTTATGTCCCAATAAAAGTGCCTGAAGCTAATGAGTAGGAACCTTAACAAAGCAAGCTATGGGAAGAGGGGATAGCTGTTCTTTTCACAGAACCACAGAATGCCTGAGTCTGGAAGGCCCCTTTGGAGGTCATCTGATCCAACCTTGGCGCAAGCAGGGCCTTGTAGAGCCAATTTCCCATTACCATCTCCAAATGCCTTTTGAATATCTCCAACAAAGGAGTCCTCACCTCTCTAGGCAACCTGTGCCACTGCTCTGTCACCTTCACATTGAGAAAGTTTTGCTTGATGTTCAGAGTGAACTTTCTGTCTTTTATCTTCTTTCCATTGCTTTCTCCCCCATCACTGGGCTCCACTGAAAAGAGTCTGGCTATATCTTTGTTGCACTCTCATCTGGTGTTTATACATGTGGATGGGATCCCTCTGAGCCTTGTCCCCTCCAGGATGAACAGTCTCAGCTCTCTTGGCTTTTTCTTGTAGGAGAGATGCTGCTGTCATCTTTGTGGCCCTTTGCTGGACTGCCTCCAGTATGTTCACGTGTCTCTTGTGCTGGGGAGCCCAGAACTGATCCCAGCACTCCAGATGTGACCTCATAAGGGCTGAATTAAGGGACAGGATCGGCTCCTTCACCTGCTGACAATACTTTAACACAGCCCAGGACATCTTTAGCCTTATTTGCTAACATTTCCTATATTCCTCACTTCTTGTCAGCTTGGTGTCCACCAGAGCACCCAGGTTCTTTTCTGTAAAGCTGAAAATACATATCACTGCAGTCAGATAATAGAGCTGCTGTTCCTTAGCAAAGAAAAAAGTGTGTGTTTAGCATATCAAGTGATCAGATTGGATATATGAGTTTGAAAGTGGTCATCTCAACCCTAGTATTTAATCATTGTTATTCATGGCTACTAGCCTCAGTATTTATTTGGAACCTTTCCCAGCTTAGACCCCAAGAACACAGGGCAACCAGTTCTCTGAAAACAGATCTTCATTTGACTGTACAAATATTTAATGTTCATTAATTTTCAAAGAGGTGCTTTTCTTTGTAATAGAGTAGTCACACTGGGGACTCCCAGTTCTCTTTCACATGATGTTCTGTATAATAGGAGCAAAATATATCATCTAGAATTGCCTTTCTTCCACTGCTTTCACCTCAGCAAAAACACATTTTGTGAGAAAAGGTCATTGGAAGCTGGATTTCCAGTAAACCTATATTTCCTGCACTGTGCCTAACAATTTATAATGGGATAAGAGAATTCTTCCAGCCAAATAAACCTTTTCACAGACACGTTAGAGGAAGGACTCTCTGTCATTATAACTCTCCATTAAGGTCTTGATTCTCCTTCTGTTCTTGAGAAACTAGTATTTGGTTAAATCCTCAAAGAGGGGGTACCTTCTGTATAAACATCCAGATACAAATCTCAGCAGTGCTATTTAAATACCCATTTGAATGCTTTTAGTCCAAGTAAAATAGGAAATAGGGATCTGTACTTTTAAGTATAGGCCTGCCCTCAGAGAAGAATTTCCCCAGGGATAAGGGGAATTAAAATTATTGTACAAGACAGTGTTCCTGCAAAAGCAGAAATGCCATTACATGTGTGCATATTGCTTTCCCCTGGCAGGAAGCTTTTCAAAACTTTGAGGATTTTCCTTTTTTGTACTGAAACAAAAGAGAGTGATTTCAATTCTTTTTTTCTTCCAAGCAGTCAGCACTTCAGAGGCTTAGCAATGTTTGAACAGGTTTTTTAGATCATGACTCTGCAGTTAACTCATCGAGTAGATTCTTATGTCATGCCAGGTAGTCCTTGACAGATGACCATTAAATTAATACAGTTTGGAATTATTTTATGTATACTTACATTTATTTTACTTGTTATTTAAGTAACTTTGTGTCCTGGCACACCTGTGCACTTAATTTCTATATAGCACATAATCATTATGTGTCAATGCAAGTTATTTTGTATCAACTGACATTCCTTCCCAGGTGTCCACATTTCTATAAAAGGTGCTCATAATACAGTGTGCTTATTTTTCTTACTATGTTTTGGAAAGAGAGGAACACTCAGTTCAGTGATTTTTCCAGAGTCTCAATATCTTTATTTTTTTTCCCCCCCCAGAAAAGTCTAATTAAATAAACACCAGGGAGCTTTAGAGTCCTGTAACTCAAATGTGGCTTTGTGTTTTACGGAAGTTTTTTTAACCTCTTGTCCCTGAATTTGGGGTTCTTGGACAGCTGTAACACAGGCAAGTCACTTAGCGTCCTTGGGATTAAGGGCTGAAGTATGCGTCCTTCAATCTGCGGATTTTAAACCAGCAGCAAAAGCACATTCTCTGCAAAATTGTCCATGCACAGATTTCTATAAACTTGTTGAGTAACTCCAACCTACTTTTTGGGAACTCAGGAAGATGATGTGGGGAATATGCCTTACTTTCTGATGTCATTTGGTCTGTGAGATCACTGTTTTAAACTCAGTGTTTTAAACTCAGTTATAACAACTCTCATCTGTATTCACAACTTTGACTTCTTAGGACTGAATGTGCACTGGCAATATAATAGTTGTGTCATAATGAACTTCCAACACATCTGGTTAGGTATTCTGATGGCTACACAGTGTGCCATGAGACGGGGATAACAATGTAAGTTTTATGCAGTATGTATTAATCCAGGAAATCAAGGATGTCCAAATTTTAAGAATTACAGAAGAGTCCATCTCTCCATATCAGTCTGTAGCTATAGCTGCTTATTTGTCACCAGTGCAGTCTTCCCTTTTAATTGGCACAAGAGTGAGCACTGACACCTTTAGAAAAGGTGTGGGGGGGGGCAATGGAGCATGTAAGCTGCTTAAGTGGAATTATTTATCTAAATATCTGAACCTGGTGATTTTATCTTGAGAGGTAGCATAACTAGCCATATCTAGCACATTAGGAAAGCTTCTCTCCTCTTTCTCTCTCTCTCTCCCAGTCTTCCTCTTCTCTCTATCTCCCTCTTTCTCCCTCTTCCTGTTCATTCCTTCTCCTTTTCTCCTTATCTGCTTTCTGGTTTTTTCTCCCTTATGCCTTTACATCTTATTCTGGAATTATTGTGTCCTCTCAAGGGCTGGAGCTGCACTCCATTAAAACAAACAAACAGAAAAATAGCACCCAGCATCACTGTTCACTGAGCGTGTAATAGAATTAACTAAAAAGTAATTTAAAAGTGTGAAAAATGTGCATCCTGGAAAAGCAGCTTCTGTTTGTTTAATACAGGGTCAGGCATGTGTCAGAAAGTGCATAACAACCTGGTCAATGAAAGTTCTCTGTGAAAATCAATTGCAACATTCCTTTGACCAAGAGCTTCAGTTATTCAGGAAAGGAGTGATCTATAAATATGGACTAAAGATGATGCTGGTTTTCACAGGTTGCCCATGCTGGCAATATAGACAGGAAGAGTCTGAGTTTAAAGATAACAGTCCATCTTCCCTAAGTGTTCTGGCATTTAACACCAAATCACTGTTGCACTCCTGGATCATGTGTATGCTGGGAAATGACTCCCTTCTGTGCAAGCTGTTTCTGCAAAGGCATGTTTTTCCCGTTTCATGGAATTCATCGTCCTGGGGCATAGGTCTCCCCATGAGAGCAGAGCTGAGCATTTCATCCTCTTAAACCAGCAGATTTGTTGAGATTAATTTTCACTTTGCCATTTTAGATGTTTCAGAAACCAACAAAGTAGTGACACCTAATGTATGTATTTTTGTGGAGCTGGAAAGATAGAATAAAATTTCTGAGGTATTTGCCTATGAAAGTGCTAAAACACATTTCCTATTTATTCGCACATTTCTGATTTATTCTAGGCAAATCCTATGAGGAGCCTTAGAAGTAACTAATATGTTTTGATACAGTTTTCCTGCTCAATTAAAAAAATTTCCTGTTGTGGAGGGAGGGAGAAAGAAGGAGGATTGGGCAGCTTTACTTTTGGCTTGGTGAAAAATGCAACCAAATATAAAGTTTTAAGGTGAATTTTCTGTAACAGAGCTGGTGTCATTAAGGAGATGAAACCTAATAGGACAAAATTCCTGTTAGAACTATGAATGAGATCTGAGCCCTGCATAACCAAAAGTAGAGTTAAACCCACTGGAACATACATCTGATAAAGACTAAACAATAGCTGCAGGATTTGACCTAATTTTTAGATCAGATAATAAAGGGGTGGCTAAGACAAATTGCTTTGAGCCCCTGTGCATAGAGCAACCTCACTTTTCATTTACACCACTTTGGTGTTGCTGTAGCTTCCCTGACTTCATGATGTTAACCCATGCTCTCCTTGAGAAAATACAATAAAAATTCAAGCCCTAAATCTGCTCCCAGGTTTTGGATTTGCTGAACATCTATGAGAAAACATAAGCTCTTTCTGTAATTTCTATTACCTGATCTTTCTTGGTGTAATGGATGTGAATAGTTGTTTTTCTTTTCCTTTATTCATTATCTTAAAATCAGAATTAAAAAAAAAAAAAGAAGAAAAAAGATTTTTTTAAAGCCCTAATGTAGTAAGGAACTGTGCTTGTTAATCTTTTTTATAATTTTGTACTAGTTTCCCATGTACTCATCTGAAAGCCTTTATTCTCCCAGACATTTTTTTCAAAGGCATGCAGTTAATATATGCATGTCAGACATTGTATACTGATAAGATAAATGAGGTACAGAAAAATAGATTGGTTCATCTGATGGTTTATTTCTGCTTACAAGGGGTTTGCAGTTATGCAAAGAAGCAGATATGAAAAAC